ATTAATAAGTTTGAGAATAAAATAAACTTTATGAAATTTATCAAGTAACATTAAATATTACTTCACTTATTGGGCATATTTGAAATAAGATAAGTGACACTTTATTTACGTTTTACTAACAGTTAGATTTTTGTTGATTTTGTTTTAATTCAATGTCTCATTTTGTTACATACTCAGTCTAGAGGTTTAGTAAATAGTAAACAGATTCTTATGTCAAGTGGCATAGGTTAAAATGAGAAGCAAAATCATAATCAGCATGATTCATAACAAAAAGATTGGCTGTTGTCACTGTTGCCTAGAGAGAGACCTACTGATCAGAACAAACCTGAAATGCCTGATGTAGGCACGATTGGGCAAGTTCTTAAAGTTAGCTGGGCTTCGTCCAACGCAGTTAGTGTCTTAAGCCCCGTCCACACGAGTACGCTCGAAACGTAGCTGACGAACGCGCTTTTACGTTTACGCTTTTACGTAAAAGCGTCCAAACGAGTACGCTTGCGAAGAGTGCGTTTAACCAATAGAATTATTTTGCGCAAAAATCACGTGACGCTGTAATATAGCGTCAACAGAGCTGTATTTTATTACTTCGCTTTTCTTCTGTATGTTTGCGGCAAGTTGTCCGAGTCAGATGATTTTTTTTATAGCTGAAACTTTACTATTATGTGCAATTATTAAGCAGAGGCAAAACCGCAAAAAATGGCAAGAATGGGTCCGAAAGATTTATTTAGAGCGACTTGTTCAAAGAGATTTTTTTTTTTTTTTTTTTTTTTTTTTTTTTTTTTTTTTTACTGCCTTGTTTGCGAAAGGAATATCTGGAATTATTAAATTCCTACTATTAGCTCACACACTCTCCCTATATCTTGTTCAAATTTTCAGTACATAAAATGCTTTTTATTCATCCACTAAAGTTCAAATACAATTTTTTAAACTTGCAGTGAATGACACTTGATGTTAATACAGCTTTTTCACATATTAAAATTTTTTTAATTAAAAAAATTATGTTTGTATTTTTATTTATTTTTGTATTTTTAAACTTTTCTTTGTGGACCTAAGTAGGAATTGACTTAATTTTTTTTTGGGGGGGGGGTATATTACTTGTTTTTTAATTCCTTCAGGATGAGTATCAACCAGTTTGACAGACTTGCAGCTTCTATATCGTATGAAATTAGGATTTATAAAATTGGTTTGGAATACAGTATATAAAGAGAATTAAAGTACTTAATTCTCTTTATATACACCATCCACCATATAATAAAACCAACTTCATATTTTTTTTTAACTCGCTCTCCCTTGGTCTTTTGTTTTTCTTTTTATTTATTTTTGAATTTAGAATGAGGTTCAAACTTTGGAAAGTTTATGAGAAATTATGTGCATGATAAAATATGCAATAAAGTAAAAATAAAGAGAGAATTTATAGATGATATATGATAAAGAGATGCAGATATATTTTTACATAAAGATTTCTATTTGCACTGCACATTTTTAAACTAAATTAAAAACAATAATAATAATGAATAAAATAAGAAATGAAAACAATAATAATAGGTAAAATAAGAATATAATGATTCGTGATTAAATATAAGAAACACGTTTCAAAATGAGAAAAGCTAACTGAATTATACCGTCTACGGGTGAGGTTCGAATTTGCCACCTTTCCATTCCTCCGCCAGCAGAGCAGCGCGCTGACCACTCAGCTATCTGTGATAGCAAGGTTTTTTGAAAAATAATGTAACAAGTAGAAGTCGTTGCAAAGGTAATTTAATTAAACTTCAATAAATGATTGCTGTATGACACAAGTTGTAACTTTCCTCCAAAATTTCGTAATTGTATTTTATTGAATACTCTTTCACAGTCAACTGCTTTATTTTAGAAGTTATTATATTGCTGAAGTCAGTTTTTGGTGTATTTAATATTGGGATATTTATAGAGCTTTTTATTACACATGATATAGCCAATATTTATAATAATTAAGGAGAATTTTGTAAGGCAGAAACTTTGATTTCGTAGAAACTGTAATTTATTTAGGTTCCTATTACTTACGGTGTTATAAATAGGTGAAGCATATGGATATACTGGTCAGATCATTGCTTTATAAGTATACAGTTTTTCCCTTTAATGAGAATTTTAAATGTATACTAATATGTACGGTTTGAGAAATCTGAAGATGGCGTGAATAATGCTGATTATTTTATTGCTGTATACAGTTATATTTCTAAGCAAAAACTCATCTCTGTGTGACTCTGATGCCATATTGAAACGGGTAAGCAAGAAGGTTTTCTGATTATGACACGTGATAAGAACTCGGTTGGCTATTGGCTATACGCGCGCGTCGCGAGCGAAAAAGCTGAAAAGGAGCGTACAGTAAGACCCCGCTTAACGCTGTTTCGTTTAGCGCTGTTTCGGTTTAACGCTCTTTTATTTCAACCCGGGGATTCCACGAAATCGCTCGCAGCATACGGGAATTCCCCGAAATATTATGCAGCGATAGGTTTCAAATACATATCCGAAAGAGTGTTTGTACTTTCTTTGTTTGGTGCGGTATTGTACAGACATATTTTGAAGGGGTAAATGTGGAAGATGTCGAAGAAATAATTCAAGAAGCAGCGGCTAGTCTTTCTAATGATGAGCTCAAGGAATTAACTGAACAAGAAGAAAACAAAAATGTTGACAGCAGTGATTCAGAAGAAGAGCAAAAAGAACTTTCGATGGCGTTGTAAAAAGGAGTTTGTCTACCATAACTGAAATAATGGATCATCATTGAAATGAAAATGATCCGAATTTTGACAGGAGCTCAAAAGTAAGGCGTGGTGTTAGAGATGCTCTATCCGTTTATGAAGAACTTTTAAGAGAACAACGCAAAAGAAAAAGGCAACAAACATTAGATGCTTTTGTCACAAAAAGGCAGCAGAACACTGAAAACGCGGGAAGGCTAACTAAATATGACTGACTGAGAATTTTATTTGTTTTTTTAAGAATATTCGCTTTGTTATTTATATTTTGTTTTTATTTTTGCAAGAAATAATAATGTGGTATTAATTTGGGCTTTAAGAAATAAATGTTTGGTTTTATTTTTATTAAAAAAACATACTTTTTAAATTTAATACCTAACCAATTTCCCAGCCATCTTCCCCTAACCCCAATATTTACATCGCCTCGTTTAGCGCTGTTTCATAAGCCTCGTTTAGCGCTGTTTCGCATTACGCTCTACTTTGATGGAACGTATCCCCCGCGTTAAGCGGGGTCTTACTGTACTCAGTTTTACGTCTTCTGCGTCCTGCGAATTTACGCCGGCGTCAAAAAAGTTACGTCAAATACGTCGGGAGCGTTCTCGTGTGGACGGGCCTTTAGCTTCGTGTAGAGTTCCAGGGGTTGTGACTCAGATAATATACTCTAAGGTTTTAATAAGCCACTAAAGCACCAGAGGTGATAACTTGTTTTTCACTGTTTTAAGTCTCACTAGATGCGAAGAATGAGTTTTACATGAATTTTTACATTTTTGTGTTTTATCTTGTGACCACGGTAAGGGTTAATGAAAGGAAATAACTCGCTTCAATATCCAGAGATAATTTTTAAGGGTAAGTAGCCAGTTATAAGCAATTAAATTAGGTATTATATAACATTAGTAATTATGAATTTACATGCCACTATTAAATTTTATTTATTTTTTTAAAAATATTTATTAAAAAAGTCCCTATTAAAATCACAGCCTAATAAAATTTCACATTTTAAAATACTTGTAATTTATGACATTGATTCTAAAATGATATTAGGATAATTATACATTAAAAGCTACAAAACATTTATTATGTTTTGTAGCAACAACACTCGAAAAAATATTCATGCGCTTTTTAATTTGAAGCCTTCCCAGACATTTTGGCTAATTTACATCGATTTCCTTCTCTTTAAGCATTTTTTCTAACAATTAGAAATTTGTCTCAATACGCAAAAGAAATGTCCTCACTAGTTTCTGCGTGTTTTATCTCCTAACCTGTCAGCCTCTCCACAATATACCTATGACGATCGATCCAATGTGGCTTTAATTTCGTTGTCATCAACTGATCTTCAATAAGCTGGACGTACTTAATCGAACAAAACTGATTGGTGAGCATTATAGCGGTAAATTAGGAAAAGTTTTCAAATCCAACCTAGTACAAAGCAATGTAGAAGGAAATGGTCAGTTACATAATCGTACATCTAATTTCTTTGAACTTGATAATCAGAAATTCATTCGAGGGCAATTAATTACCATTTTAACTGAGCAGGACATTTTCCTACATGCTCTTTTAGGTCTCTAGCTCATACACCATACTTTTTTGTGCGGAGGGGGAGGAACTTTGAGTATGTTGTGTTCATGATGTCCCCGTGATCTCGAAAATTTTATTGTTACCGTTATAGAAATAATACTAATTAGAGCTAAGCGTTAGGCATTTTGCTACTCTGCGAGCTCTAAAGTCTACTATCCTGTGCCTCCCTAAATTCTAAAGATTAAAATTTTGTTACCACTAAATTCTGCTTCTCAATTATTCTCCTAAATTCTACAAACTTTCAAATTCCTGAATATTTTGGCTCAGTTCTTTAAATTCTAAAATTTTTGCCTTCCCTAAATTATGCCGTCTTATGAGGCATCACAGCCGGCTCTGGCTCTGAAACGAGTCCATGATACATATACTAGAATAAATGTAGCTTGAATTTCATTATCATCTTGATAATGTTCTTGCGATAAAGGAAATCCCATAAAACATTTGTACATAAATTCTATAAAATTTTCCTTTAATTTCATGCATTACTAGTTATTCCGTATTTCTATCTAAAATGCAAAAACAAAGACATTTGAAATCGAATCAATAATCAATATTATTAAGCGCACCTGCTGTGAAATATAAAATAAATATTAGAAGATATGAAAAATGCGCAATTTCAAGAACTTTATTAATTATGTTTTAATATTCAGATTAGAATTTTTATGTGAATAACAATTAAATGAAAGTAATTATTAAACTTACCGTTTGTTCTGGTATTTCAGGTTGATAGGGAGTTATAACTCGGGTCTCATTGATTCGCTTATATTTACGGAATTCAGAAAAACCAGGCTGAAACAGATAATTGTAAAATTCAAGAAGTTTAGAAGCCTAATAATTGTCTAATAATTAAAAACTTAAATGAGTAAGAAATAGTCGTTGATTAGTTTCGTCGAAGCTTCAGAGGGACTTATCTCTAATAAAAGTGCAGTCAGCAAAAAATTTCTCGATTATTTCTCTGCTTTTTTCATTCTTCCCCGTGTTTACTGCTAAACTGCATAAAGTTATTCCAGCAATTATTTTGTCTTGTACGAGGAAACTTTTTTTCCTCAAATTAATGTAAAAAGTAACGATAGATAAATAGCATAGCCTCGGAAGAAAGCACAGTATGATTGATTTGTTGGTGAATTCTAATGCTTTCGTTTTTTTTTTTCGGGGGGGGGTGTCCTATACAATGGTTTTTCTGATATAATTTTTTTACATAATACAAATATATATGGTTATCATTTCATCTTCTGAAATTTTGTTTTATTGATATAATTTTATTTCTATCGCATAATTAACACATTTCTTCGAACTTAATTCACTAGACAATTTCATATATAGTCTATTTTTTAATTTCATATACTAAGATGAATTTCGTGAATGTCAGTTTTCGTTAATTTATTTACCAATTTACTCTCTTATAAACGAAATATTGTGAAACACTGCCATACCTTTACACGACATATATCATTACAAATATATATATATATATATTTACAGAAGGAACCAAAGAAAGAAACAGTAAGAGACACTTTACCAAAATCTCTACCATATTTTCGAATATTTTAACTTTCATTCATCTCGAACACAGAAATTTCTTCATAATATACTATATCAGTTAAATGTTCCTTACTAATACACATTTAATTAGGAATAATGCCTTTTCAATACAAAATTGCACCCAAATAATTGTTCCATTTTCTTATAATTGTATGTATACGTTTGCATTATGCGATTATTAACAGATTCTTTCTATGCATTTTCGACAACTGTAATTTAATTAATGTTGCTAAATATTACTTTTTTATTCAGGATAAAAACTCCAAAGATTATCTAAATCACTCAAATTTTACTGCATTATTTCCTCAGTACAGAATACCTATCTTAGAACTGTTTTATTATTATTAAAAACTAAATACAAAATAAGAATGCTCCACTGTAGAATATTTACTGTTTTATCCAAAATGAGGATAGAACCTTCACCAAATTTAAGTTATTTACCCAGAATTCCAAACAAGTTTTAGAAAACGTGCTGTACAAAGCAACTTATTTACGTAAAAATGAGTCTTAACAGATTCTTATCGACTTCAGAATTACTATCAGTGGAAAGAATCTGAAGTTCACTTTATCTAGCCTTGTCAGTATACACGTAAAAACCAAGAATCATTGGAAACCATCAATCAGCAGTTTAAATACATTTAATACTGATTCAACTAATTTAACTTTCAATTAGCATATTTAAAAGATAAGCATATTTATGAGATGGATTATTCAATTAGTCATAAACATTATTGAGGGAATTAAATATCCAAGATCGACGTACCCACTGTAGTGCCTGGTCCTCCGAAACTGTAACCCTGAAAATAGGTAGCGCCCTCTAGGCGGAAAAAACGGTAAGTTGGAGACTGGCTTTCGGTGGGAGAGGCCGGTTGCTCAGTATGCACAGTGTAGTAATTTTATAAATTTAACAATCCTACCTTTTTATATATTTCTATTTGTACAAAGTGCACATAGTTTACGTTGATGGTGTGAATAAATTAAAAGATAAATCTGAGTCTATTAATTACGCCACCGGACACGGCTGGATCCTACACTGTCGCAGTACGACACGATTAGAATCGAAACTAATGCTTCAACGGAGAAAAGGTAAGTGATTTATACTTACCTATTATTTTAAAGTGACTTTAAATTTAGTTACGTAAACTGTATAATGAGATAAATTATAAGTTACTATAATAGTTTGAGAACTAATTAGCGCTATATTACGAAGTTATAAGAAAGTCTCAAAATGTTCTCGGTTAAAGGTCTCAAGAAACAAGATTTAGTTTTATTGGCAAAAGAACTAGGTCAGAATGCTAATGAAAGTCTTAAACTCACAGAACTGAAAGATACAATTACTAACAGTAATGATTATAAAACTGATCCTGAATTCGTTAAATCTGTGCTAATATCCATAATTGATGATAGGAAATGAGCTGAAGAATTAGAAAAGTTTAAATTGGAAAAAGAACACGAATTAGAAATCGCAAAACTTAGAGCTTCGCCTAATTTTAATCTTTCGGATAACACATCGTTAGAAAATTTAATTAAAAGCATAAAAGCTTTAACGATATCCGTTCCGACTCGTTCGGAATCTTGGACACTTTATTTGGCTTAATCCTAGTATCCGGTGCACACGGTATTTGACTACTTTTGGCGACTTTATGATGAGCAGTGAAAACGGGACATATATGATGAGTAGTTAACGAGTCATTCAAAGAAAATATATATTTAAACATAGTATATACTATGTATATAGTATATATACTATGTGTGTATAGTATATATATAGACGTTCTTTGGGTCATTTTTGGTGTTGGCGATAATTTTCAAAGTCGCGCCAAGGCTGCACCGTATACTAGGATTTTACCCTTTATTTCTCTTCGCTGGAAAGATCATTTAAGATTAAAAATGTACCAGAAGAATACAAAGCCGAAATTTTGATAAATCTTTTAGGTGAAAATGCAACAAACGCTTTGATTTATGTTAGTGAAGATGATGTAAAAAATTACGAAGCAGTTAAGAATAAAATCTTAAAAGAATATCAGCCAACTGCTCAAGCATGTTTGGATATGTTTCGAAAGGCTAAACGTGAGTCAGGGAAAACACATGCACAATTTGCATCTCGGTTAATGACACAGTGGAAATACTATTGCACCTTAAGGAATGCGAATGATTTAAATACAGTCCATGAATTAATTGTAGCCGATAAATTAATGCAAACTCTTGATCACGAGACAGCCATGCATATAAATGTAAAACAAGGCGATACTTGGTTAAAACCCGCGGAAATCGGAAAGGAATGTGACACGTTCTTCGCTTGTAAGAAGAAAATCTTTAAATGATATCGGTAGCTGTTCTCAGAAAACACCGAATATTGAAACCAAAAGTACCCGCTATGTACCCCCTCCTATGCGAAAACCGGATGGTTTGCCCAAAATTACTAAATTTAAAAAGGATTGTTATATTTGTGGATCTTTCCAACATATAGCTAAAGACTGTCAGAAGAAATTTAAACGCGAAAATCAAAATAAAACTACTTCCGAAAGTAATAAATCACAGAAAAGTGACGCGGTTGTGGCCCAGATTAATACAGAATACCTCGAGAAGAAACAAGTCGAAATTCAGCCTTTGCAATATGTGAAAATATTAGTTGAAAATAAAGAAATTGATGCTATTATCGATTCAGATACACAAATTCCGGTATTAAACAGTAATATTGTACCGTCAACCGATCAAGATAATGGAAAATTAAGTTTAATACTGCATTTGGCGAAGAAATAGAAGCGAAATTAATAAAATTATTTATGATACTGAAAGATGAAGGATTCTGATTTATTAAGCTACCCGGTAGACATTTTGGCGGCGGTAACAGATCGCTTGAACGTAGATTGTTTATTACCCATACAAACCTTTGAACTCTTGCGCGACGGATGCGGTTTGAAGGGGGAAACAAATTTAATGGGGGAAACGAATTTGGAAAGCGAAACGAATAAATGTTTAGACTACGTGGAGTCAAATACGCCTGAAATAAACATTCCTCAGCCATATGAAGAAACTAAAATAGAAAATAGGAATAATTCAGATGCCAACACGCATTCAGTAACGACTCCAATACAGATATTAGAAAATAATCAACGTAATGATGTATTAAAATTTCGAGAGGAGCAGATGTCTTGCCCGACTTTAGAAGAAGTCAGAATTAATTTAAAGCAGGGGAAAGGAAATTTTATGGAACTTGATAATATAATTTTTCATAAGGATAAAGTAATGGGAGATTCGGTTCAGCAGTTAGTTCTTCCAAAGAGTCGAAGAAAAGATGTTTTAAAATTAGCACATGAATCTGTTTTCGGGGCTCACATGGGAATAAAGAAAACAAAAGAGAGAAATCAGATATAATTTCTACTGGCCCAATATGAATAATGATATTACCGAATATTGCCTATCTTGCGAAACCATGTCAGTTAAGAAGTACCGAAAAAATAACTGATAGAATTCCTATTACCCCAGTTCTAAGACCTTATTTACCATTCGAAGTTGTTAATATCGATATTATAGGTCCTATAGAACCTCCGTCTGCTAGAAAACATAATGTTTTATGTTTAATGGATCAACATTCACGGTGGCCAGAAGGCCATTCCATTACGTTCTTTAACGGCAAAAGCTACTTGTGATGCTCTGTTGGAAATATTTACAAGAACTGGTATTCCGAAAATTATAGCAAGTGACCAAGGAACTAACTTTATTTCTCAACTGACACAAGAATTTATCAAGCGTCTTGGATGTCATACTAGATTTTCAGTTCCAGGATATCCAGCTAGTAATGGACTTGTCGAGAGGTACAACCGAGTTTTGAAAAACGCTCTACATCACATCATCCGCATGGATCCATCTAATTGGGATAAGTATCTACCATATTTGCTCTTTGCTTATCGCGAGGTTCCCAATTCTACTACAGGGGTTTCTCCGTTCAAGTTAATGTATGGTCGAGAGATACGTGGTCCACTGAGTGTTTTGAAATCTAGTTGGAGTGGTGAAATACCGATACCCTTAAATATGAAGCAATCAGTTGTTGATTATTTACAAGAAATGAAAATAAACTTAGAACGAGCAGCTGATCAAGCATCCTTGATAGCATCTGAGAAACAGGCAGCTTTAATCGAATTAGTTTAATCGTCGAGCTATACCTAAAGAATTCAAAGTAGGAGACAAAGTTTATTTGCTTATTCCCGATTCGTCCAATAAACTTTATGCAAGATGGACTGGTCCAGGGAAGATTATAAAATACTGTTCACCTCATTCACATAAAGTCAAACTTTCAGATGGGAAAGTAAAACATGTTCACGTGAATAAAATCAGAAAGTATATCGCTAGAGTAAATGCTGTGGGAGTTATTTTCGAAAATGAAGAAGAATTTGGAGAGATTCATCCAACTCCGCAAGCTTCTTCTCAAGATATGGAAGTTGTTCTCCAAAAATTGCAACTTGAACATTTAACGGGTGATCAACAACAGCAAATTCAACAACTCATAAGAAAGCATGAATCGTTATTTACAGGAAAAGTGAAAATTGCAAAGGTGGGTTTTCACAAAATAAAATTAAAACCCAATGAAGAAAGGAAAAAGCCACATATCTACCGGATTCCTGAAACTTTAAAATCCAAAGTTGATGAACAAATTGAAGAGCTGTTAGAACTTGATTTAATAGAAGAAAGCAGTGAAGAAATTGCATATCGTATAGTTTGTGTAAACAAGAAAGACGGGAGGAATTCGACTGTGTGTTGATTACCGTGCATTGAATTCTGTGACAATTACTGATGATTTTCCTATGCAAAATGCTTCAGAACTTATACATTCAATAGGACAAGCTAATATAATATCAACACTGGATTTACTAAGAGGTTATTGAGCTATTCCTATGGATCCTGAAAGTCGTGATTACACTTCGTTTAAAACCCATCGACAACCACAGTACAGATTCAAAGTTGTGAGTTTTGGTCGGAAAAATGCTGCAGCAACCTTTCAAAGGGAAATCAATAAAGCACTCCATGAATACAAAGACTTTGCCAGAGCATATATTGATGACATCGCAATATTTTCAAAAAACTGGAAATCTCATATGGTTCATTTGGATATGATACTCACTAAGTTGGAAGAGCTTCGTTTTACAGTCAATATCAGCAAATGTGATTTTGCCAAACCGCAAATCAAATATTTGGGTCATGTAATCGGATCTGGAAAACATCAAGCCGATCGTGAGAAGATAGAAGCAATTTCCAGATTATCAAAACCGAAGACCAAGAAGACACTCAGAAGTTTATTAGGTCTATGTAACTATTATAGGGACTATATTCCAAAATATTCTGAATTAGTATATCCACTTACTGAACACACAAAGAAGAAGATACCTGAGGAAATACCATGGAAAGAAGAGCACGATATTGCTTTCGAGGAACTCAAGAATGCTCCGATTAAAGCTCCATCGTTGTATACACCAGTTTTGGGACAACCATTCATTATACATTGTGATGCATCACAAATAGGAGTTGCAGCATGTTTGTCACAAAATTTCAATGAACGCAATTATCCCATAGCCTATGCAAGTCAGAAGTTAACTCGAGCTCAGCAATCGTGGTCTACTATAGAAAGAGAAGCATATGCTATTGTGTGAAGTTTGAAGAAATTTGAAACCTGGGATTTTTGGAATTTCCAAAGTTGAACTTTACACCGACCATAATCCTTTACCTTACCTGACAAAATGTGCACCGCAATCATCTAGATTACAACGTTGGGCTTTTGCCTTAGCAAAAATACGTAAATAGACATGAAAGCATTCTACCAGGAGTCAAAATGGGTAATGCAAGATGCTTTATCCAGACTGATTTAGAAGGTTTTATTTATTTATTTATTCATTCTTTTTTTTTTTTTTATTTATGTCTTTTCATAGACCAAAAACATTTATGGACAATTCATAAAGACTTTAATTTTGGTGGTTAGATTAATTGTTAATTTTCTTATTTTCTTTAAAGCTAACTGCAAGATATATCTTTACTAAGTAATATTTGTAAAGTTATTGAAATTAGTTACTTACAGCAATTAGATGATTTAAATGTAGCATTCTTAACCATTTAGAAGTTTTTCTTTAAAATGTATACTTGTAAGAGTTAACTCTTTTGTTATGCAAATGTTGTAATATTTTACATTTACTTTTAGTTGATTAGTATTTATAATGTTGAATTGTGAGCACCAGGCTTTGTTATCAGAATGTGTTTGGACATCCTGCCCAACCACAATCTTAGGTGGAAGGTGTAGTGCCTGGTTCTCCGAAACTGTAATTCTGAAAATAGGTAGCGCCCTCTAGGCGGAAAAAACGGTAAGTTGGAGACTGGCTTTCGGTGGGAGAGGCCGATTGCTCAGTATGCTCAGTGTAGCAATTTTATAAATTTAACAGTCCTACCTTTTTATATATTTCTATTTGTACAAAGTGTATATAGTTTACGTTGATGGTAGATAATTTAGATAAATCTGAGTCTATTAATTACGCCGCCGGACACGGCTGGATCCTACACCCACTAAGAACATTCCACTCATTAGGAATAGTAAAACTTTATGTATATTTCCATGAAATGTGAAATCTTGTAATGCATTAGTATAAAACCTGAGTAAGAAAATATTTCCTATAAGCAGTATACGGTTAAAAAGGGTATTCTTATGATAACTTATTAACCTTTAAAAAGTAAGAGTAAGATAATGAAAAACTGTTTTCAGAACTTTTCTTCATTTTCTAAATCTACCCTTTTATATGAAGGAGAAAATTAAGTGAAACTCCCATTTTTTCCCTATGAAGGCCTGCCCATTTTCCCTAATAGACGAAAACTAGAATATTTCATTTTTCCATAGATTTGGCTTTAGACTTACTTTCATCTGAATTACTTTTATCTAAATTAGGATATGTACATATCCTAATAATGGTAGTTTAACAGGCTCTCACCTCCCTAATCTCTAATCGCTTGTTTGCCAATTTAAAAATAAGAGAACTATCCCTCATACCTTAGATGATTCATTTTAATAAGGTTGGATATATTGGCATCGTCTTGGAAAACGTAATGCTAAATTTCTAAAAACGTGAAACGTGTTTTATATATGAAATATGCTTACAATTATATAAAATGTAATTAACTTTTGAACATTTTAATGTATTTTTAAGTAGGTCCTTGAACAGTCTAGTCTATTTTCTATATATAATATAGGTTATACAGCTTTTCACTGTGTAACTGTAGTATTATGTGAAATGTATGGATGCTGCGCTTCGAATATGGCACTTATAATAGTTTTGAAGAGTCAAAAAATGTTAAGTAATATGGGTATAAAATTTAATTGATTCGATGTAATAATTTGCATACGAAAAATATAAACTTCTATTTTCGGAAAAAATACCAGAAATGTGTCAAATTATGTGATAAACCTGGTTGGTCTTCGAATTCGACTGAAGTAATATGACTTTACATAAGAATATATAAAATTTCCTATGGGAATTGAGATTTTGAAAATATTTTCATATTTTTGATACTGATTCATAGCACTGATACTGATTTGATACTGATTCATGCACATAGTTCAAGCAGTTATGATATATCATTATTATTCATAAATTTTCCTGAAGGATGAAAAATATTTGATTTATTTCTTGAAATTGTTCTTGATTTCTTTCATTCAGTAAACATCTGCAATTAAACTCGCACGGCACTCTCTAATTAATGTAAGATCATAGATATTCTTTGAAAAAGACTGGGATATTTTCTAAAATCTACGAAATAGTATGGTATGAAACGATAAAAATCTTGGATGAAGTTCAGTATATTTTCGCTCTCATTATTGAAAATCTCTTCCTAAATTCTGAAATAGTGATGTTTTTACTCTTATTATTTTCAATATTTCATACTTTATGAATTAAATAACTGTATAGATGTACTAAATATTATTGAATGTGTAAATACACTCATGTCCATAAATTAAGAATAATGCAAAATCAGGCAAAGGAAGAGTAAGAATCAAAACAAAGTTGACTTATTTGTAAAGCTTATTTATTAAACAAAAGGTAAAGAGCAAAAAAAGTGCTATATGTTTAATATTATTAAAAAATTAGCGATGTTTTCTCCCTGGAGCAATTACCCCCCAAAAAAAAAAAAAACTATTCACAAAAAAACCATATTACATGGTTGGTATGACTGTTAATACATGGTATGTCTCTCAGACGATGCAATACAGTCCGTACAACGCTAGGAATGCTGAGTATAAAATTATCGATCTGATCTGGGGGATATTACAACTCTCAAAAAGCAATGCTCTCCGAAGTTCCGGTAGACATGTAGGAGGGAGTTGACGGGCTGCAACTTGTCGCCATGCATGTCCCACACGTGCTCTACTGGATTCAAGTACAGTGAGAATGTTGGCCAGTCCATACGGGTGATATCCTCCGATTGAAGGCATTCGTTTACGATGTTTGCACGGTGAGGACGGGAGTTGTCATCCATAAACACAAATTGTGCGCCCATGGTGCCCCGAAACAAACATACATGTTGTTCCAGAATGACGTCCCGATAGATTTGGCTTGTCATGGTTCCAATTTGAACATGCAGGTCTGTTCTGGAACCCAGAATAATTCCACCCCAAACGAGCACTCCTGCACCACCGTAACGGTGTCGTTCAATGATGTTTTTTTGATGGTAACGGGTACCTGGAGCTCTCCATATCAAAGTCCCGAGAGAATCAGACTGCAAGCTAAACCTGGACTCGTCGGAAAACTGTTGCGGTGTACACAATGCATGTTCTCTACTCCAGCCTAACCGCAGGCGAAAGTGAGTTGCAGTAAGTGGAACGCATTTGACAAGTCTACGAGCATATAGACCAATCTGCCCTAAGCGTCTGTACAGTATGCCTTGAAATTGTCGTACTTGTGGCTGAAGAGAGCTGACGAGACAGGTCTGAGGCTGTGCTCCGCCTGTTTCTTTTGGCAGTAACTGCCAAATACCGGTCCTCATTCGGCGTTGTAACTCTGGGGCGACCTGGGCTGTAACGTCTGCTCACATTACTATCATCTTGGAATCGTTATCAAAGCCTGGAGATGACCACATAATTCTACCACGTAAAAAATCATCCAAATGCGTCCTTTGTGTCATAACTATTCGGTTATTGCACTGAAATGCTTATAAAGCGCCTGCAAACAATTTTACTTCTTTGCCTGTATTCCTTATATATCACTCTCTTACACTCTCGTCATTGTGACGTACCATCGGTGTCATCTGGTTACTTCCTGAAATTTGCATATGATTCTTGGAAGATGTGCGTAATGATTTTAGAGGTGATATATTTATTTTAGAGTTCGATTTCCGCGTGACTCCGAATTATCCTTAATTTATGGACATGAGTGTATTTATTAATTGGTTGGATTCATTTAAATGATTTAGAAGTACAGGAGCGACATGTTAGGCAGTTTCTTTCAGAAATATATCCGTATCTGAAAACTCTGCAGATACTAATTCGCCTTACTGAAATTTATCTAAATTTAACCGTATACTGCTTATAGGAAGTAATTTGTTACTCAGGTTTTATACTAATGCATTACAATATTTCACATTTCATGGATATATGCATAAAGTTTTACTGTTCCTAATGAGTGGGATGTTCTTGGTGGTTACGTGGGTCTTGGATATTTAATTGCATTTCCTCCCAATAAGGTTTGTGACTAATCTAATAACATGTAGCATAAATATGCTTATCTTTTAAATATCCTAACTGAAAGTTAATTAAAATTAGTTGAATCAATATTAAATGTACCTAAAGTATACTGCACCAGTGATTCTTGGTTTTTATGTGTATAGTGACAATGCTTGACAAAATGAACTTCAGAGTTTTCCCACTGATAGTAAATCTGAATTTGTTGTTTTTGTAACATGCGTTTTCGGCGGCGTTGTTTTGGATGACAACCATCTTGAAAACATTGCTTCTTGGCGTGAAAACTGTAATATTTAATAATTTGTAAATGGCAACACTTTTGGATACTGATATGAAATAGAACATGCTGATATTGCAGGTCTCTTTAATATTATACATTCTATTATTATAAATAAGTAGTTTATAAAAACTAAAAGTGCACCTTCAT